ATTGACAGTTTTTATTCTTAACAAAAAGATATATTTTCAGAAAACTGATTTTTGGAAAATATCTTTTAAACTTATCTTTTCAGAAAATCTATCTTTTTCAAGATGAAATGAATAATTCGAGTGTACTATAAATATGGTCATATGCATTCATTCAAAGATGAGGCTGACGAAGTGTAGTGGTCGTGCTTAATGGTTTTATCCTTCACCACGAAGCTAAGTCAGTCCTCCTGGTCAAAGTTCCTATCAGGTTTTTGGTTACAGTACGTCTAGTGAGTTCCAGACAAATCTTGAGTGTTCAACATATTAGTTTTATCTCTTTATTCATAGATATGTATTTAGGGATATTCGATGAGATCTTGTAATGGGAAAAAGGGTTTTGAGTGTTTTGTATTTTGGGATGAGATTGTGAATTCTCTTAAATTCACGCTTGTGTATGAGTTTGAAATCTCGTAAAATTCGAGTGGTAGTTAGTCAACCTGAGTGTGTCTTGGGTTGCACAGTGAGTGAAAGGAACCTGAGAAGTGTCTTGGGTCACCTAGGAAGTGTCCTGGGTAAAGGGAGAAGAAAAAGGGTCCTGAGAAGTGTCTTAGGTCTGGTAGGAAGTGTCCTATCATATAGTCAAGTGTCCGTGGTGGAACTTGCAAAGCAAAGGTCTGTGTAATAGGTTGTACTAGGAGAGTTGCCTATTATAGTGGAATTTGTTTATAAGTCCCAATAGGGCCGAGGTTTTACTTCCAGTTAGGCACTGGATGGTTTCCTCGTAAAACTTGTTGTGTGCTTTAAGTTCCTTTACGTTTTGTTTTTAATTTCCGCATAAGTTCTGCGATAGGAACCTACTACCATTCACTCCCCCTCTTGTAGTAGTTCATCTAAAATAACAACTAAGTAATTACAATTTATTGGTAATTTGCTAGTTAAAACAAAATATAAATTTAAGTAAACAACTAATAAAGTGATAATTATTACTATAACGTGTTTGTGACCTAACCAATTACAAGTTTACAACTCGACTCGTTCTATTTGATTACTTGGGCTAAAGCTTTTATATTTATGACATGAACTGATTTTGCCCAAATTGTTTTGAACCAAATTCGTTTTAAAATCGATCGAGTTCTATCGGAATCGATTATGATTTGAACCGATTACAACCCAACCCTGTTAGGATTTGATGTATTTTAACCTAAAACTAGTTATAACTTATAAACTGGCAAAACCCGTTTTCAAACTGATTGAGTTCCACTCAGACTGATTACGATTTGAACTGATTACAACCCGACCCGATTAGGACCCTCTATGTTTTGACCCAAAACCCGCCTTAAACTGACAAAACTTGTTTTTAAACCTATCGAGTTCAACCCGAACCGATTATGACCCGAACCAATTACAACCCAACCCGATTAGAATCCAACCCGAAAAGAAACGGTAGTAAAAAAATACCAAACCGAATCGATCCAGATTTATTTAAAACCGACCCGAACTAACCCGATAATAATTCCAACCCATTATAATCCGATCCGTTACAAACTGAAAACCGATAAACCGAAACCAAAACTAAACCATAAAACCGATTGACACCCTTACTTACCAAATGCATATGTGTTTTAATAAGATTTACAAATTTTATTTTATTTTTTTCAAAAAACTATATTTAATGTTATATATCAATATCCTCTCATGGTCTTCACCAATACCAACTAATACATTTTAAACTGATTCGTCTCTCTCACATTCAATTATTTTCTACAAATTATTATCCGATTTTTTTTTATATACAATTTTTTAGTACTCTAGCTATCCTACTCCCCACCCCCCCCCCTTCCCCTCCCCTCCCCTCCCCTTTTTTTTGAAACAATGTCAGCTAGGCATTATTATTAAAACTAAATCAAATCAAATTTCGCCAAAGTTATGAAATTCTGAGGAAAATTGTCCAACCATACACAAGTCGACTCACTTACACTATATCTTGGAAGTTGGAACTAAAGAAACTATAATTATCTTCTCTTCCACCAAATTAAAGGATAAACTACTACAAAGTATAAAATATTAGACTTTTGAAAGTAATTTTGATTGGTTTTAAAAAAAAATAATAAATTTTGATTGAGGTAGGTAAAATATCAGACTTGGTAGGAAAAAAAAATAAGAGTCAAAGCTATCTTTGAATGGTCTATAAAGTATAAACAACCACCTAACTACAATAAATGCTAAATTAATACTTTGTATTCATCTTCCATTGTAAACTAAAAGCCCACTCAGCACTAACGGCTACGATGCTAGCGTCGTTTCATGATAGTTTGCCCAGGTGTAGCTATTAACTTGTGACTAGGATGCTTACTCGTTATGAGCATACTCCACATTCTGACATGGCAGGAAAGATTGACAAAGTTCGTTAATCATGAAGATTAACTGGCAGCCCCCTTTTAGAATAAGTAATTTCATATAAATTCAAATACGAGGTTGGATATTATTCTGTTATTGTGATCTGTGATACATAGTTGATATATGACAACATTGATAAATCAAATATAAGGTGTTCTTATAGTGTCCTGCGAAAGAAAGAAGATGTTTTTTGATGTAGCTTTCTGTTTATTTGGTTCTCCTGTCACTTAGTTTGCTGTTTTAGTTGGTTTTTGGTTGTAAGAATGTTTTTTGTTATATGGATCATTTGTAAAATATATATACATATATATATATATAAGGTGTTGAACCCCCTAGTTAGATAAGCTCGACTCTTTCTCTCTCTAGCGAACCCTCACCGACTCCCCACCGCTTCCCTTTCTCAAGCCCCTGCTCCCCGGCAATCGGCACGTCGCTCCTAGCTATCGCCGGCGAGCCAAGCCCTTAAATTTGTTAGTTTTTTTCCTTTATAGTGGTCTTTGGTGAAGAAATAGGGGATTTGCTAATTCATTGGTTCTTCTTCCTTTCCGGTGGTTATCACTTTTGTGTATTGTGTGGTGGTTTCAGTTCAACGAAACAAGGAACGAGGCTATTCTTAACGCCGCTGTCGAAAGGAATTTTGTTAATTGTTCCCGACGATAAAGGTGAAGTTAAGGATAGGTTTTCTCGCTTACTCCAAGGTTTGGTTCTGCGAGGTGGTTCTTGCGTTGGCCGTGACGATAGTTCTTGGTATTAGGACAGTTTTGCTGGTGAGGTTTGTTTCAATTCTGCTTCTTCTTGTTGATTCACAATTTCTTTTATGTTTTTTGCTATGCTTTTTGCTCTGGTTAGTAGTGGTTAGATGTTGGTCTTGGTCTTTCTTGATTTAATTATGTTGTTCTTGTGCAAGTTGATTTTTCAGTTGTTTGGGTTGTTATGTTTTAATAATTCTCTTTCTTTGCTTAGTCATGAGTTAGAGTTCCATAAGATTGTCTTAGTTATGGAGGCTTTTGAAGTGTTGTCTTTGTTTTTCCTACGTGGTTGGTTAGTTTTAGGGGTTGTGAGGTTAAGCAATTCTTTCATAGTTAGGTTGGTGGTTCTTTTAATTGCCTTTTGGGGATGTGACTATGTTCCCCTAGGAATAAGAAGTTTTTGGGTGAAGGGGAGTTTTTAGTAGTTTGGTTTTGTGGTTCCCTTCTCTGCAGTATAGGTGGTTTCCTTGCTTTGTAGTATGGGGGATCGAGTTATATATTTATTATTTATAGTTTGTAGCAGAAGAGTGGTGATGAGGGGAGATGTTTGTTTGTTGTTCTTGTTGCTTCGTTGTGGGATGATATGATCATTCATACATTTTCGTTGTGGGATGATATATATACATGTATATGTATGTATATAAAAGGTGTTGACATTAATTTGATTTGCCAATTTAATAATCCATTCTTTATTATTAGTTTTATACTTTTATGATTCAGATTACAATCCTTCTCAATTAACTAGCTTTATTAAGGGAAACATTTTAAGGCATTAATGTGCTAAACTAGATTACTAGCTATATTGGATAAGAGAATAAGAGTTAAAATATGTGTTGTGTAGGAAAGTTGATTAAGGGAATCAATGTGTAAGCAATGTTAAAGGTAGATTTGTCAATTTGAGCGTTTGGGTTGAGTTAGCTTGGTTCGGGTAAATTTGAATTAATTGCTTTACTATTCAGGTCGGGTTACATTAGGTTTGGGTCATGTTAAAAATAGATCAGGTTGAATTTGAGTCATATTAACAAAAAGTAGGGTTGAATCCAGGCCGAGTTGAATTTGGGTCGGGTTGATTTTGGGTTTTAACGGATCAAAATGGGTTTGGATCGATTTCGGGTTTGGGTCGGGTTCAATTTAGATCAATAATTGATGAGTTATGTTTGAGTCGGATCATGTTAGAATTTGGGTCACGAATCCTAAGGTTAACTCGGGTCTCAAGTTGGTTTCAAGTCGGGTCATGTCAGGTTCGGATCATCAATTTTTTTGGGTTTAAACAAGTCAAGTCATAATTAGGTTCCGATATTCGGGTTAGGTGAGCTTTTGAATTTTTGATAGCTCTACCATCGAATCAACTTTACTAGAAAAAGAATACGTACGTGGCTGAATATACTTTCATCACGAGCAAAAATACAAATAAGAGTAAATACAATAGTTGCCCACAACCATTGTGGTTATCACTTATTTAATTAATTTCTCTATCTTCCACCTTAACCACTCTTATAAATAACCAATGTAGCCTAAAAGTTGACTCTGGTTACACATCTTATCTCTCTTACTTTTACCCTACCCATCCACACAATCTCCCTCTTTCACTCAATGACGAAGTAAATTGGCCCTACTATTTCACTCAATAACCAAGTTTTATAATCTGGTTACAACCAAGTTATTGCTTTTTATTTCCAAAAATTTCTCTCTTTATTTTTTAATTATTTTGCCACATTTTCTCTCCCAATAACCATTTTAAATGGTTAACGGCTGGCTATGCTGAGTGCCAAACAACAGACAATTACAGACTGTAGTATTCTTATCTAAAAAAAAAAGTGATAAAAATAATAAATTAAAGAAAAAACTAAATGAAAAGAGTAGTGTAAGTCATACTTTCTAGCCGGTGGGAGGCCGTAGGTGGTGGCGTAACAATTAGAGGTGGCGGAACGGAGAGTAGCAACAACAGCATCCTCGGCAGTGGCGGCAGTACGAAAGCATTGAAATGGGGAGGGATCACCGTGACCCATCGGAACGAGTGTTCGCTCATCATTGGGGTCAATGTTTTCCAATAACAATCCTAAAGCTGTTCTCACGGTCAATGGTTTCTTCTTATCTCCTGAATCTATTTCTTCGTGTTTCTCCTCCTTGTTATATCTCCACAACATTCTACCATTGTTTTCCATCTTGAGCTCTTTCAGTCTTTCTAGATTATTGAAATTTTTCTTGTGTAAACGGATCTAAGGAATTTATCTATATTCTACATTTCTATGTCCATTTCAAACGAAGTAGGTAATGTGCCGTGTTTTCTTATCAAATTATTAGTACAAACAAACAACTATCGTGTCCACTTGAATAAAATATACTTCGTATTCTATAGTCCGTACTACTACTTTTGATCTTTTTAATTGTATGACTTATAAAATTGTGCGTAATACTCCATCCGTTTTTAAATACTTGCTCCATTTCTGCATGCGCGGAGTTTTTAGGAGAAATTGGAAAAAGTAATAAAATATGGAGGTAGTGGGGCTGGTGGAAGAATAAAAAATTGTAAAAAGCAAAAGTAAAGGAGAAATTGGAGGTAAGAGAATATGAAATGGATAAAGTATGTTATTCGTTGGGTCCACTAGGTGGTAGAAATAAATTAAATATTGTAAAAAGTTTCCAAATAAGAAAATAGAGCAAATATTTTTAAAAACGACCGGAAAAGGAAAGTGGAGCAATTATTTAAAAACGGAGGGATTATATTTTTAGACAATTTTTGGTACAGAGAGAAAAAAATAAAGAGGACTCATGTAATTAGGGGTGAGTAAAAATTTCGGGTACCAAGAATTGGAACCAGCGGGTCCGAAACCGGAATTAGACCCGGTGGTTCCAATTCCGGGTAATAAATTAAGGACCCGATTATAACCAATTCCAATTCTCAACTTTTTGGAACAGGAACCGGTTGGATACCCGATTACCTAATGTATGCTAAACTAAATAAATTTTAAATAATAAAAATATGTTGAATGTATCTAATTAGTAAATTAAAAAAAGTATTATTAATACCTAAAATAGATACAAATAGCTTAATGCATATATAAATATAAGTATTAAACACTAAAAATGAACCTAACTAAAATAAAAATTATAATTTGTATTATATTTTAACAATTACATACATAAGTGGGTACCTGGAACCGGAACCGGTACCCAATGGTTTAAATACCAATTCCTAAATTTTAGGATCCGGTTGAACCAATTCCAATTCCGGATCCAAATTTTAGGACCCGGTTCAAACCAATTCCAAGTTCGGGTCCTAAAATTTTAACCAGGTACCCGATTTGCTCACCCCTACATGTAATAAGAGAGAACTAGTGAGAATTTATTAAATAAAGAAGAAAATGAGGTATTTAAATTGAAATTTGTAGTTTTAAAAAGTGAGTCGTCTAATAAATAAAAACGTATTAAATACATTGTTGTTATTATGTTACAATACAATTTTTCTTATAGGGGCCAAATTACCTTAATATTATTACATATATTGTAATTCCCTGTATTTTTAAATATTTTAAATTTTATTTTATTATTTGTATTTTTTTCGGAATTATTCTATAGGTTTCAAATTATTTTGAGTTGATAAACCATTTTGTTACAAAAGGATTTTTTTAATTGTCAATTCTACAATATATGTCCAAACAAACAAAGCCTATTCCATTTTTAGGAAATTTTTTCAACAACTACCAATTAAAGCACGTGTTTTGAAAATAACTAACTATTAAAAACTTTTTTTAAAAGAACTACCACAAATTTATAAAAAGTTTAAGTAGCACTACCACTCTAACAATTTTGGTTAGAATTTTTGGCATTTGGGTCTTACTTTTTATCACATTTTATATTTATAAAAGGTAATGTAGTCAATTTAGATGGTGATTATAGGAGGAAAAGGTAAAATGTGGAACCTACGTGCCGAATATTCTAGTTGGAATTATTAGAGTGGTAGTGCTACTTAAACTTTTTACAATTTTGTGGTAGTTCTTTTTTAAAAAACAAAATTAATATGTAGTTGTTTTCAAAACACGCGCTTTAATTGGTAGTTGTTGACAAAATTTCTCCATTTTTATTTCTTAATTGGCCCATTATTTTTATTAGCCCCAATATTTCTACTTACACTACAACTCTCTCTCCTATAAATACCTCATACATCCCCAAGATTTTTCCCACACAAAAGGTTAGTCTTATGGCAAATTTGCTAAAAAAAACCTTTTAAATGTGTCATTTTGTGAAAAAAAAATAAAATAAAAAACCTTTTAAAAGCTTTTTTGTAAAAGAAAACCTGAAGTTAATTTTTTTTGTTTAAAACAACCTAGTAGCACTAATTCACTTAATTAACGTGAATTTCTTCTAATCACTCTATAACTCTTGATTAACTATTTAATAATTAAATTATTTTATAAATTAAAAAAAATAGAAAACCACCACCCCAACACCGGTCAGCCACCCTTTCCCCTCCCCTGGCAGCAGCCCTTACCCCCGGCGACCACCTTCCTCCCCCCCCTAAACCATGGCAGAAGCCCCCTTCTTCTTAAATCTCTCTTTTTCTTTATCCTCAACCTTCAATGCCTTCAACAATGGTGGTTACTTCTACAAACCCTTCATTCTTCCCTTTCCTAACCCTTTCTTGAGTTTCTTCCAAACTTCTAACCCCAATCCTCCAATTATGCACCACTTCGACCACGAAAACCACCATCTATGTTATCAAGAGCCGCAAAATTTTTAGAATAGTCAAGGGTAAGAACATACCTTGAGGAGAGAGAAGGTAAGTGCATAAGAACACCTCAACAATTTTCTACTTTGTTTGTGGCGGTGATTGCGGTGGAGAAGACATGGAATTGGGTTATGCGGCAACGATTATGGCGATTGGTGGCTGCTGCCAGGGTTTAGGGAGGGGGAGGGTTGCAACGGGAGAAGGGGAAAAGGAGGGGGATCAGCCAGCGGTGGAGTTGGGTTGCCAGAGGTGGGGGCTGCTGCAAGGGGAGGAGGAAAGGGTGGCTGCCTAGTTGTGGGGTGGTGGTTTTTTTTATTTTATTTTTAAATTTATAAATTAATTTAATTATTAATTAAATAGTTAAGTAAGAGTTATAGAGTGATTAGAAGAAATTAGATATTAATTATGTGGATTAGTGTTACTAGGTTGTTTTAAACAAAACAATTTTAAGTTCGGGTTTTCTTTTACAATAAAGCTTTTAAAAGGTTTTTTTTTCCGCAAAATGATGCATTTAAAAGGTTTTTTTTAAACAAATTTGACTAGTCTTATTTTCTTTTCTCTTTATTTTATTTTATTTTATTTTTCTTTTAATTTTCTTTTCTTTTCTTTTTTCTTTCTTTCTTTCTTTCTTTCTTTTTCCTTTTCCTACGTTAGCAAAGCTCACTTCTGCCCAAGACTCCTGCCGCCAGCCACCTTCGGTGCACCCGCCTACCGCCGCCGTCAGACAACCGGCGACCACCCAACTGTGCCCCACCGTGGCCGCCCCTCCTTCTTCCTCCTCCTTTGTTTTCATTATTTTTCTTAATGTTATTAAATTGTTTTGGGTTTTTTATTTTATTGTTTGAATTAGTTAATTTAGTACCTGTAACACCTCGTCTAAAACAGAAGGCGAGACGTTAGCAGAAATAACGTCGAGACGGTAATGTCACTCTAAAGGTTACTAAAAAAAATAAAGGAAACAACTGAAAAGGTGATATAAAATTATTTAAGTGAAAGAAAACTCATTAAACATAGAAAGCTTCAAATGAGGCAGAACAACCTCAAATCCAATTGTCCCAAAAAAAAGATGGACTAAAGATAACATCGGGAAGTCTATAAAACTGTTAAGAAACAAACTAAACACTCTACTCTCAGCCCAGACTCAACAGAAGCTACTCTTCACCTGCAAATAACATTTAGGTTCCACAATCAGTGGGGAGTAACTAGCAGTTCTCCCAAAGACAAGGATATCACATAGCAAGAATCAAGACAAGGCAAGAACAAGGAAAAAAGAATATGAAAACAAAGTCACAAGACATGAACTAAAAGAAAATAAATATATTAGAAAGAAACTATTCAATGGAAAATAGGGTTACTTAGTAAATCAAAACTTGAAACAGAATAAAATAATTGTTAAAGTTCATATAATACTTCAAACAAGCAAGACAGGTTAAACAGTGTAGTAATAATATTTATATCATAGAAAAACAATTTGACTAAAGTAGGATCGAACGCTAGTGGAAGCCCGCAGTCCACTTCCTAAGGTTTGTGAGGCGAACCTCCAGTCAACTCACAGGAGACTGTGTCTAAGAATGGCCAAACTCCCGGTGCCGGATAGAAGCCAGATATGGACTTACACCTTCGAACCTCCCGGACGACAACAATTAACCCAGGTTATACTACTTGAATCCCGCATCCAAGTAGTTGGCATGTTCTAACCATTGGAATCTCGCAGTCCAATGGCTCCTAACTTACAGTCAATATAAAAATCGATAAAATAATATAATTTTAAATCAAAAATTATCAATGATCAGCAGAGATGCCACATATGGCCTTATACTCACGAATTATCAAATCAAACACCGCAATACGCATACGTTAAATAGTGGGTTACCAACCCCATGAGAAGTCTTTTAATCAGAAATATGCACACTATACACATACATATACATGTTGTCCAATTTTTACAAATTGCAAATACATACTTCTAAAAAAAATCAGAATAATTAGATTATTGCTCTAAAATTATCAAACTTGCACACATTGACCCTCACATTGACACAAATATTATAAAGTATAATAAGAGACATAACAAGGTTTAATCATGATTATACACCCTAAACTAATCCCAACCAACAGCTTACATAAAAGTTCAGACACCCCAATATTATCAAGCCAAAGTTCACCTACTTAGATTACTAGTCATTGTACCAATTAATAACTTGAAGATACATTACATAATATGATTACATGAAATCCTAGCATGATTTATAAAGTGAAAATCAGAGTACTATACTCACAATATTTTATAAGAATAGCATATAGTAGTTTGCTCCACCTCACTCCACGAAACCGAAGATACAACCTCTCATAACAACAATTATATTAGCTACAATTATCACCCAACAAAACTAGAAATTCAAGTAATTAATTTGGTCACCATTAACCATGAAAGTCAACTCCACACTAAACATATCCCAATGTAACTTGAAGGTCCAAAAAGCACATGACACCAAAGAGAAATTTCGCAGCAGCAAGTGAACAGAAAAAATTGGTAATTAACTAACATGATCATGAGTTATTACATAAGTTTTAATCCTTGATATTTTGACATACATATACAAAGGTGGGAATATAGCAGTCCCATTAAACACGCATGTCACACAAAAATCAATTGGAAAATAGTTCACA